TTCGCAATGAAATATAAAAATAAGGGTGAAAATTTCAAAAAATAAAAGTTAGAGACGTTTTGCACAATAATATTGAAAGTCATAACGTTTTGTGCTAACCTTTTAGTTATTTATTTGGACTTATTTGTAGTTTTTATTTATTCATTAATTTTTCTTTTTTAAAATTTAAATAGGAGAATATATTTGTTATTTCATATTTTTTTATTGAAAAATTGGATGAAAATGACATTTTCTGCAATAAAATGTCAAAAACATAGGTAAAAATACCAAAAAAGTGAAAAGTAGAGATTTTTTTACACAATAATCTTAAAAGATAATGACGTTTTGTGATAATTACCCAAAAAAAAAAAAAAAACTTACTTTACCAAATATAACACTGAAAGGAAAAATAGCACAAATAGTCCCCGACCTATTGGGTCACTGCTCAAATCATCAATAACATTCTAAAAGTGCATAAATAATCCCCAACCTACCAACTTAGTGAGCGAATCATCATTCTTTGACACTTTATGCCCGTTTTTTTCAAAATACGTTTTTTTCTTTCTTATTTTCAATAACACATTATTCAATAAAATAATATTACACGCAAATTTAAAACTTTTTCTTATTTTTTAATTATACATTCTCTACCATTTTACTATTTCAAAATGTATTATTAGAATATAATGAAACCCAAACAGGCCCTGTGTTTGATTTGTTGAATATGCATGTGATTGTCACCCGCATAAACTTTTTGGTGCAAATGATTCCTGACTCATGTAGTTTATTCACAAATGGTCTTTTGTCTTCGAATCTTGATGCAAACATCCCAACCTTTTCAATTAATAGGTACAACTGGTCTTTTTAGATAGTTTTTGTTGACATCGAAATTCGATAGTGCTGCGTAGCCAACAGATCACGGCTCCTCTCTCCGTCCACATATATGTCACCTACACACTTGGAGAGTCACGTTAGACTGCTCATGACCTAGCTCCAATGGGATGTGCCGATCACAAAACTCCAATGCTCAAGTCAATGGGGAAGAAAGTATTTGGATGCGAGGGAGACATAATGGATGAAAATTATAGGTGTCAATTTGAAAAAATACCAAGAGCAATATAGAAAATATTAAACATTGTACTTACTATTTTTATTGCTAGATTTGCACTGCCTTTTTAATACATTAAGTGTGAGTTTTTATACCAAGGGGGAAGATGAGACGTCCATTCAATGTTTGATATGTGACCTCAACTTAATGGCACTGGTCAACCTTGAAATGTGTCAATTCCTACTATCACAGGACTGTGGCAACATTAAATAGGTTGAAAAGCAACCACACAATGTCATAAACCTACAATTTAAAAATAGACCGAAAAGTTGATTGAGCACATTTGCTGTAGGACAATCAAACCCATCAAATGCAGTAAGTATCTTTGTATGAAAGATCTCTTGACTGAAGTGATGTTTTTAAAGATGCCTTGTCTATGGGAGGTTAATTGCTCCAATGATTCACTGCAGTAAAAGGTGGTGCTTTACCTTGAAAGTGACTCTTCGATTAAAGTACCATCACATTGGATGAAAACTCCTTAATCACCTTGCCTAGTCACTATTAGCTTTACAAAGAGCGTGAAAAAGGCAAGGAGGTGCGCAGTACAAATCTTGCATGACTCTTTGCTTTGTCTTTACATAGCGGTTGTAACATGGCATGCCTCGTAGGGCAATACTTAACAGTTGTCATTCATATTGATCGTCAAAAAGTCAAATTTTGATATAAAATATTGAAATGACCCTCATTAGAGATAAATAAATAATACAAAATAAGTAACAACGAATATTAAAGTCAACTCATCCTACCGATTGACTCTCGATAAAAGCATCACAAATGCAACCATGGCAAAGAACTTTTATAAATAGAAACCAAGGCCTCGTTTGGTACACATTAATGTAAAAATGAGAATGAAAAATAAAGTTATTACGAGCCCACATAAGAGATAGAAAGTCAAATATGATGGCTTGATATGATGAATAACGGTCATATTTTTCATTTTAATTGGCAATTAATGGGAAATAAACGGGGGCCAAATTAAATTCCAACAAAATAGGTTCAAGCTTTATCAATCTTTCACTGGTAAGTATGGTCATTTTACAAATTTCCAACAATAGAAAATGTTCAGAACTTATAATAATGCCCTTGTTTGGCCCCATTAAAAATAATATTGATTTTTCTCTATCTTTTTATCAACCACACACTCTCCAATAAAATAATATTTCATATAATCCCAATATTTTTTTTTGCCTTTTTTAACTACACATTCTTTAAAAAATTATTATTTCAAAATACTCGAATCTCTTTTAAGTGAGTATAAATTGTGAACCTCGTTTATCGTTAAGATTTAATTAAAATGTCCTATGCAGTACCTACAAGTGAAGATTGACCAAATTTGGACCTCTTTTATTGTTGGGTTTTTTAAAGTTATTTGATAAAGTTTTTGATACAAATATTTAGCAAAATTTGATAAAAGTTGATGAAACATATCATTGGAAGCTTGTGAGATTCAATGAAAGTTGTGATTAAAATTAGTTGTTGACGTTGATCTCAAATTTCTAACAACTTTTTAAGCTACACCAACAAATACTTAATCTAATTTCTAATAAAAGTTCTTTTGCATTTGAGATGCTCTTATGGTGGATTGATTGGTAAGATTAGTTGAATTTTCATTTCTCTTTGACAAAATTTTTGTCTTGTAATCATATAATTCTCGTTCTTTTATTTATTTTATTTTTGAAATACTGGATGAATCATTTCAGTTTCACATCGAAAGTTAGATGCACATTATTATCATCAAAATAGATGGAAAATCTCAAAAAGTGATTCTTAGAAATGATTTTTTTGAACATTAGGAATGATTTGGACAGTGACCTAAAAGATGAGGGACTATTTGCGCCAATTTCGCAGGAAATAACTGATAAGCCGCTTAAAGCTTGGCCAAACATGTTATTAACAAAAGTTTTTGATGTCTTTAACCCTGCGATTAGCCCCCAAAAGGCATAAACCTCAGTCAAACCTTTGTCTTTAATCAATTGGAATCTCCAAACCATACCGGGAATTTCACTATAACCTTCAGCATAAACAAGATGTGGTACCGCTCAGCCTCTTTCATTCTCGACAATCGGAAGTTAGGGAACGACGTCGTATCTTGCCTCGAAAGCCACCCGCTCTCCCCCGCCGACACAGCATCTTCCACCACCATGCCCAACGAAAACCATGAGCCGAAAATCTCCCTTTACTACCAGACACGCGCCGCTCACTATGGAGTCGTGACTACTGACTGGCTCGCTCAGGCTGAAGCCGCTGTGACCTGCCACTCTGATGACGAGGCTTCCAAGAATTCCATCGGCGGTGGGGAAGATTCGGAAGAGGGGTTGAACGTGGTGGACGATTTTAAAAACTGGCGGAAACAGCCCGATTTGGCGGAAGCTGTGGCGGCTATTAGGGCTTTGGCTTCAGTTATTCGGTCGAGCCAAGCCACAACTATGATGGGACTCGAAATTGAGCTAAAAAAAGCGGCTGACTCTCTAAAGGTGTGCAACTTTTTTCAGTTTCAATACCGTTTTATCTATTTCATTTTCCAAATATGAATGCTTTTTTATTTTCCTAAACCTTTTGCTGTTGTTCATGGTATGTCCTATTTTTTGCACCAAATTATAGAGAGAGACACACACACATATAAGTTTAAAGGAGGCTTGTGGTACAAAAGTTTCAGGGTGGTATTGCCTCCCTATTTAAAATTGAGGCTAGCTCTGTTGGGGCGAAATTTCCTGTGGAATTCTGGTCTGAAATGCTGTATCTGCTCGTGTAGTAACACTTCCTTTCTGCAATTGGATGTCATTTGTGTATATATAGATGATACAATGGAAGTTAAAATATGAGAGATTAACGAACTTCCTAACGTCACCTTCTTTCTCGGAACTCTAAAATCAGAAACTTCACAAGTGTTCAAGTTCCTTTCATGAGTTTTCACTTTTTCATTGTGCAAACTTACCAAAAGTTTTGTCATATCCGCCAAAGTTATTTGCCTGAGTGAACCTGGAAGCAATCTGATAAACCCCAAATACGGTTTACATATTCTAGAAGACTCAAGGGGAGAGAAAGGCAGTAGGTGGGAGAAACAGAATTCTGTTAAGAAGCAAGTGGCAAGGGAAAAGTAGTTAGGAATAGGCTATAAATAAGAATGCAAGGGAGCTTATTCGATAGGCAAGTATTGAGTGAAGAAGGGAGCCCTGTATTGTCTTTCATTTCTGTAATTTCCTGCTTTCTAGTGCAATTAATCGAAGTCAGTTTTTCTTTCATTAAGAGTCTCATCACAATCTCTAACTGAGAGTGGGCAAATATCACTTTTAAGTCAGCATATTTCTAAGTGTTTCAAGTCTCTGTTGATCTGAGTTTTATTGTTCGAGTTTCATCATCACATGGACATTTAATTTGGAGTAGTCACTAGTAGTTTAATTCTTTTCAATAATAGCCGGGTATAGCTACTAATACCATGTATCGCTGGAGCCTGGAGCAAGAGCTATCTGTCTGGAAGACTTGAATCAGGGTAACTTTTTTGAGATTTTGCCTTGAGCATAACGAGAATTTGATTTTCGTGCTGTTGAATAATGTATGGATGATTTGAGGGTCAACTAATGGACATCATTTTTTAGGCTCTTCAATTTGGTTCTTAAAATTAGTAAAAGAGGCTTGGTAATTCATTGATAGAATAACACACACATTTTTCTTTAATTAATAACGTCATTTTTCAGTTATCCATACCAAGTTCAATGTTAGCTAGATTAGTCAAACTTTATACGTCTTGATGCAACAATGGTGTACCATTTGAGCAAAACCTGACATGGATTATGCTCGGGGTTGAATGTGTTTCCCTGACACATTTTTTCTGCCAATTGAAGATTTTTTCTTGCTTTGAAGAAGAAAATAATGCATGAGATGTTAATGCTAGTAACAGTGCTATAGATTGGGATTGGAATCTCAAACCTATTTGAGATTTGAAATAGAGAAAGTAGGTCTCAACCTTTAATTTGTAGCAAGTGGATCTCCAACTTTTCAGTTTTGTAGCAACTGGGTCATAGTGGATGACTTCCATCCCTCTGACCATTAAAAGGTCAATTTTTATTAAAAAGACCATTATACTCCTATTTTCAATTCATAAAAAAAAAGAAAAAAAGAAAAAAGAGAAAAACATGAAAATGAAACAAAAACTTTGTGCAAAAATAGGAGAAAGTCAGGGGGCAGCAGCGATGGCTGGCAAAGAGGACTGAATGGGAACAAGTAGGAAATGGCACGTGGATGGGAGGAGGATCCTTTGATGGTTCAGAATGAAGAGAAGAAAGTCTAATCATGGTCTCATGCAATTGAAATGTTGTTTGAAGAAACAGTGATGTAGCATTACACAAGTAGAAGCAGTCACATAGAAGGTGAGGAGGTGAGAAGTAGAAACTAGGAAAAAGAAAGAGGAAGAAGGAGAGGAGAAGGAGAGAAGAAGAGGGCGGTGGAAAAGTCTGCAACACTCAACGTTCAATTCATTCCCATCAATCTGTCCCATGCAAAGGCTGTCTACATATATATAATAGACAACACAAAAGAAAAAGGGCTTGGATCAGCCCAAAACATTATACAAGCCCAAAGCAAAATAAAAAAGCTTGGGCCAATACCAAAATATACTACAAGCTCAAGGTAAAATACTAAGCTAGTCCAATGCTAAGTGAATGTTCTCATCAACTCTCCCGGGGTGGGAGAAAACTTGACTTTGTCGAGTGAATAACTCATAAAAGGTTGCAGTCAGTCACCCAACCATAAGTTGAGTGGTTGGACAAACCTCTTCTGACGTCCATATATACGTGTGATTGGTGGTCTGGGCAATGGAAGATTATGCTGACTCTTATAAAGTTTCAACAAGTCGGCTCTAGCTGTTGGAATCTCTCTAGGGATATATGTCAGAGTCAGGTCAGCCTACCCAACGAACAAAAAAGCGCTAAATTTCTCTATCATTGGTCAACATAATCTGTTAATCTAAAATAGCATCAATCTTATCTTTGGGTATTGTGACAGGGGGTGTTGAAGTAGGGATAGCAATAGGTTCAAATTGAGGGTCAACAGATGGGGGTAGAAAAGGGTCATCAGAGGGCTTAAAATGACCTTTATAAGGAACTAAATCCTTAACATTGAAAGTAGAATGGTAGCCAAAATGTGATGGAAGATCAATGACATAAGCATTTGGACCAACACGCATTAAGATTTTAAAAGGACTAGTGCTACGGGCTTGCAATTTGGAAGCGGATCCAGATGGACGCCGTTTCGGTCTAATTCGGATCATCACATAATCCCCAATATTAAATTCAACATGTCGTTTATGCAAATCTGCTCGAAGTTTATATGATGCATTACTTGCCTCTAGTTGTTTATTGGTTTTAATATGTAAGTCATAAAGATATTGTACAAATACCTCAGCTGACACGGACACATTAGCATGTGGGGACATAGGGATAAGGTCTAAAGGCTTCTTGGGTTTGTAACCATGAACAACTTCAAAAGGACTCATGCCTAAAGACTTATTCACAGAACTGTTATATGCAATTTGGGCTATAGAGAGGATTAAATCCTAGTTCTTAAGATTTTCCTGAACTAGATACCTTAATAGATTACCAAAACTGCGATTAACAACTTCAGCTTGACCATCAATCTGAGGATGATATGCACTGGAGAATTTCAACTTAGTGTCAACCATGTGCCATAAGGTTTTCCAGAAGTGACAAGTGAACCGAACATCCCTATTCGACACAATGGTCTTAGGAAGGCTATACAACTTAACAATCTCATTAAAGTATAGTCTGGCAGCCTTAGACGCATCTGAAGTTTTGCTGCAAGGGATAAAGTGGGTCATTTTCAAGAAATGATCCACTATAACAAAAATAGAGTCATATTTCTTTGGAGTACGTAGGAATCCTAATACAAAATCTATACTGACATCTTGTCAAGGACAACTAGGGATGGAAAGAGGTGTGTAAAGACTAGTGTTTTGTCTATTTTGTTTGGCCAACTGACGTGTTACAGGCACTAACTATCTTAGCTAACTTTGTCTTCAAACGAGGCCAATAAAATTGACGTTCAACCTCTTCGATTGTCTTATCACGTCCAAAATGTCCAGCCAAGCCTCCGGCATGACTTTCTTAAACTATAAAGTCTCGTACTGAAGTTCGAGGGATACACAACTTATTGAACCTAAAAAGATAACCATCCTCTAGACAAAAACCATCAGTAGCATCCAATTGCCAACTTTGCAACGCAAGGAAAATGTCCTTGAAATCGAGACATGACTCATAATCTTCTTTGAGTCGTTCAAAACTTATGACCTTGACACTCATACTGGTTAAAAGGGAAATGCAGCAGCTTAAAACATCCATCGCTTGATTTTCACTGCGTTTCTTATGCTTCAAAACAAAAGAATAGGCCTGCAAGTACTCGATCCAACGACCATGCCTAGCATTTAACCTCTTTAAGGAATTAAGGTAGCAAAGTGCCTCATGGTTCGAATAAATGACAAATTCTTGGGGTAACAAGTAATGACGCCAATAGCGCAAAGCTTGTACGACTGCATACAATTCCTTGTCATAAGTCGAGTACTGTAGTTTGACATCATTTAGCTTCTCATTGAAATAAGCAATAGGCTGACGTTCTTGGCTCAAAACTCCACCTATCCCTACCTGGAGGCATCACATTCTACCTCAAAAACTTTGGGAAAGTTAGGAAGTCGCATGACTGGAGCTTCTGTCATTCGCCTCTTAACCAACTTAAATTCTTTGGCCGCTTCATGCAATTAATAAAATTCTCCTCTTTTCATGCACTCTGTAATAGGAGCCATGATCGTGCTAAACCCTTTAATAAAACAACGATAAAAGGTAGCTAAACCATAAAAACTCCTAACATCATGTATAGTCTTGGGCTCAGTCGAGTACCGTAGTTTGACATCATTTAGCTTCTCATTGAAATAAGCAATAGGCTGACGTTCTTGGCTCAAAACTCCACCTATCCCTACCTGGAGGCATCACATTCTACCTCAAAAACTTTGGGAAAGTTAGGAAGTCGCATGACTGGAGTTTCTGTCATTCGCATCTTAACCAACTTAAATTCTTTGACCGCTTCATGCGATTAATAAAATTCTCCTCTTTTCATGCACTCTGTAATAGGAGCCATGATCGTGCTAAACCCTTTAATAAAACAACGATAAAAGGTAGCTAAACCATGAAAACTCCTAACATCATGTATAGTCTTGGGCTCAGCCAACCAATAATTGGCCTGAATCTTTATAGGGTCAGCAGACACTCCTGTCGTAGAGATAATGAAGCCTAAGAAGACAACTTTATCTGTGAAGAAAGAACATTTCTTCACATTGGCATACAGACTTGTAGCACGAAGGGTAGAATAAACCTGCGTGAGATGATCTTGATGTTGTTCCCAAGTTTACTGTACACTGAGATGTCATCAAAATAGAAAACGAGGAATTTATCCATGAATGATCGCGAAGCTCGTGTCATCACTCTTATAAAAGTACTCGGGGCATTGGTTAGTCCAAAATGCATGACCAATCACTCATAAAGACTATCCTTCGTTTTAAAGGCAGTCTTCCATTCGTCACCGGGGCGAATCTTAATTTGGTGGTACTCACTCTTTAAATCAATCTTAGAAAATATTGTGGCACCAACCATCATATCCAACATATCATCAAGCCTAGGGATTGGAAAACGGTATTTTATTGTGATCTTATTGATGACGCGACTATCAACACGCATCCTCCAATAATCATCTTTCTTAGGAGTCAAAAGGGCGGGAACCGCACAAGGACTTAGACTCTCACGAATAAATCCTTTGTAAAAGAGCTCCTCCTCTACTTGCCTCTGGAGCTCAGCATACTTAATAGGATTCATTCTATAATGAGGTAAATTTGGAAGAGACGATCCAGGGATAAGATTTATAGCATATTGAATATCCTGTAAATGAGGCAATAGATTGGGAGGCCTTCAGGAAAGACATTTGAAACTCTTGAAGAATTGACTGAACCTCATCAGGGGTCAATATTGGAGATTCCGATGGAACTTCCATGACGACCACGACAACAGAATTCTCTTTTGAGTGTACGCTCAAATTCTATAGGGCTAGTCATATGTAACCCTTTCTGCTCCACAATTTTCTTGTTCTGCTGTGAATCAACAAGCTTTGGCGGTAAAGGATTAAGGTGAATCTTCTTCCCATTAAACACAAAGGAACGGGAGTTTGACCGACCATGGTTAGTTACATCCAAATCGAACAACCAGGGTCGACCAAGAATGACGTATTCGACATCCATGGGAATGACGTCACACCATATATGATCTTTATACATAAGAAACTGGATAGGTACCAAACAGCGCTCATTTACGGCAATAGAAGAAGTGTCAACCTAAGAGACGCTATAAGGTTAAGGGTGTAGGATGGGCTGTAATTCAAGATGGGACACAGTATCCATAGAAATTGCATTAATGCAGCTACCACTATACACAATAATTTTACATCTATTATTCATCTTGATATAAGTGTGAAAAATGGCGTGACGACGCCAGTCATCGGCATCTTTAGGGTGAGTGAGGGTACAGCGTACAACACTTAGCTGCGAGGTGTCAGGGACAAGGGTCACATAACCTAGATCTACAGGGAAGGTTCGGATGCAACCTAACAAGCTATCCTCAATATCATCCAAATCGTCAAATTCTTCAAACTTAGGTTCATAGACTTGATCTTCTAATGGCTCACCTTCTACATCTTTTCGTTCCTCAATGACTAAAGCTCGATTAGGACATCTAGATGCGATATGGCCAAAGCCTTCACAATTGAAGCGCTGCAGGCGGGAAGAAGTTTTTGGAATTTCAAAAGCTTTACCCTCATTTTCCAACACAAGGGGACATTATATGGGGGAGGCCCTAGGAGGGACTTAACAGGCGGAGGTGGCACAGATGAGACGGAAGGACGATTGTCAGCACGCCTTCCATATGAAGTTTTAGTGACCAACTCATAATTTTGGACTACAGAATAAGCATGATCAAGAGTAGTGACACCTCGAAGGATACGCTTACGCCTAAGATCATCTTTTATGTCCTGTCTAAACCTACTCCAAGTCATTGCCTTATCTTCAACTACGTGTTATCGCATTCGAAATTCATCAAATTGAGTAACATATTCAGTCACTCGTCGATGTCCTTGTGTAAGGGTATTCCATTGGTCTAACAAGTTGCCCCTGTAAGATTGAGGCAAGTACTTCTCTTAAAGGCGATGTTTCATTTTCTCCCAACTTCCAATTGAAGGTGCATGACGCTTCTCAAGGAGATCCTCAATACTTTCCCAGAAGAGTTGGGCGGTGCCAGTTAATTTCAGACTGGCAAATTGGACACGTTGATCCTCTGGGACTCCATACCATACCAAGAAACGATCCATGTCTCTAATCCATTGAGCAAAAACTCTAGGATCTAAGCAATCATCGAAAGTAGGAGCGTCTAACTTTATGTTTTTAAAGTAACGCTCGTCATGGCGTGGAGGAGAATGATTATCGCGACGGCCATGGCCTTGTTCTCACTTACAGTCCTGATCCCCATTCCTTTGATCATGTCGAGGGTGTTGTCGACTACTTTGTCGACGATAATAGTGTACATTATGGGACGCTTCAGAGTTATCAACGTCAGTCGAACGAGGGGTTTGTTCAAAATTGTCCAACCTGGCAGCTAGGTCTTTACTCTTTTCACGAGTAGCAGCCATCTCGATGGACAATCGCTATTTGAGTCTGTAAATGTTGCTGGCTTGTGACAAGTTGAGCTAATTGTCTAGTGAGTGCATCAAATTGTGAGGGGTCCATGGTGAATGTAATAGAACTAGGGGTGACGAGACGACCACCACGCAACTACATGCAATGTAATACCAACTAAATGATTTGCGATGGAGACATCAATGAACAACAAGTGCAAGTAACGAAAAATAGCAACTTGAATATTTAAATTAAAGGTTTGAGATTAAGTAAATCCAAATATGGCAAGCTAATATTGTTGATATACGTAAAATAACAAAGCGATGGTCAAATTACTAGCCAAAATCTAATCACGTAAAATAAGTGGAATAAAAGTGAGGTTTAGCAAGGGTTCAATCACGTGATTTTAGGTAAAGTAATTAGAATAATAGCAACATAGAAAATTAATTGATGCGATTTTAAATTAACAGTAATATAAATCAAATCTAGATAATAACAGTAACTTCCCTTTTTGTTCGCTGAAGTAATTGAATCTATCAACAGGACAAGAAGAGGTACCTGCAAAACGATATTAAAAAATACAAATTTATTATTATTATTATTTTTTTTAAATTTTAAAATCAAACTAAATTACATAAAAACAAATAGGGCAATAAATGAGCCCAAATCACAAAACTAAGCCCAATTACAATTAAATCCCCAGCCACACAAGCACAAGCCTAGAATATTTACTAAGCCACAGCCCAATTAAAATCAACTGCCCACTGTTATCTTAGCCTAGTCGTTTTTCCCCACTCTATCTATGCGGTCTGTATGAGAATTGGATTTAAGTGGAGGTGATTACGAGCAGCGCTACTCGGAGAAGGCACTGGCTCGCCTTTTGTGTTGGTCTGACGACGTGGTGGATTGGGTAGATGAAGGACGGTGGTTGCAGTGAGTGAGGATACTGTGGTGGCTGTGCTAGGAGGATGACTGGTGGTCGGCGTTCATGGGTTTCGTGAGCGAAGGAGGCGGTTGCGGGGTGGGTGCTCCGAGTTGTCGCGAGTGGGTCGAGCTCAGAAAGGCAATCGGTCAATTTTTGGGTTGCTGTAATTTCGGGTGGGGAGTTGAGAGGAATTGTTGGTAGCTGTTGACGGTAGCCGGAGGAGACAGTGTTGGGTGTAATTGGCTAAGTGTATATGGGTTAGATGTTTGTGTGCGGTTTGGAGAGAGGATGGATGGGTTACCTTCTGGGTAGGGCTTTATGGTGATGAACAGCAAGCTGAAGGCAGGAATTTGACTGAACTTTTCATCACTTCCATGGCAATTCTGTGACTCCAATTTTCAGTTAAAGATGTTGAAACCAAGTTTAGCTCTGATACCAAGTTGATGTAGCATTACACAAGTAGAAGCAATCACATAGTAGGTGAGGAAGTGAGAAGTAGAAACCAGGAAAAAGAAAGAGGAAGAAGGAGAGGAGAAGTAGAGAAGAAGAGGGTGGTGGAAAAGTTTGCAACACTCGACGTTCAATTCATTCCCATCAATCTGTCCAATGCAAAGGCTGTCTATATATATATATATATAAAATATACAACACAAAAGAAAAAGGGCTTGGGCCTGCCCAAAACATTATACAAGCCCAAAGCAAAGCAAAGCAAAGCAAAAAGGCTTGGGCCAATACTAAAATATACTGCAAGCCCAAGGTAAAATACTAAGCTAATCGAATGCTAAGTAGATGTCCTCATCAAACATGTTTTTAAGTTAAAATAAACAGGCACACGTTTTTTTGCTTTGCTGAGGGCCTATGTTTTAAAAATTGAAATTAATTATGTACTCAATGCTTATCCAGTTGAAGGCCCCTGGTTTAAATCTGTCTTGTTGAGGAGGGGTTGGGGCCTGTGGGCCAATTAATTAAAAATGAAATGATCCATTCAATGGTCTGTGTTCCCAGCGCACCCATTCCCTAATTGCGTTGGCGTATCTACATTTCTTAGTTTGTATGCACGTGTAGATGCACTACATATGAGTGTCTATTTGTATGTTTATGTACTGTTTGATTGTCTACATATTTTGAATATGTGATTTTAACTCGCCATTGACAAAAATGATGATTGGGCAATATCAACTTCAAATTGCTTTTTGCGAGAATTTGAGATTTATTGTATCTTGTGCTTATGAATATTTTTGTTCTATGTTCCAGTCATGGGACACTACCTCTATCTCTTTAACAGCTGGCTGCGATCTGTTTATGCGCTATGTAACGAGAACTTCTGCTCTGGAATACGAGGACTTCAATTCAGCCAAATCTCGCCTTCTTGAACGTGCTGAGAAGTTTGGCGAGTTATCATTAAAGGTAACTATTTCCTAGATAAATTTGGATTGATGTGATTTTATTCTTCATTCATCCACTTGCATTTATCTACCTGTACTAATCTCATTTCAGGCTCGAAGAACAATTGCAATGCTCAGTCAAGATTTTATATTTGATGGTTGTACCATTTTAGTGCATGGTTTCTCGCGTGTTGTTTTGGAGGTTTTGAGAACAGCAGCACAAAATAGGAAACTCTTTCGAGTGTTCTGTACAGGTGTGTACTATCAACATCCAGTTTCTGTAGTATATGTCGCTGAAAATAAATAAATTCAACTTGTTCGACATAGCAAAATCAACTAGCCTCTTACATAAAGCACAAAAATTTGATCCTCATTCCCAGGTTTCTCTCCAAAATCCAAATCTTTCAAAATTCTCCAGGACTTCTATTAACTCGTAGTTAAGGTAAAACTAGAATTAATTATTTTTAAAACAATGTTACGATTGCATCTCGTGTCTTTTCCAGAGAAAGGTACCTTCTCTCTCTCTCTCTCTCTCGTGGAGTCTAGAAGCGCTAGATAACTCTTGAAATGATATGAAAATTGGCGTTTAACTTTATACGGATGGATTGACTACCTGGTTTTGGATAGTGGCAATCGACAACTGTAACTTGAATAAATGAACCATAAATAGGTTCTATGCGTCTGTATTTGTATTGCTTTCTGTTAGTATAGATTAGCAAATTCATCTGTACAAAGTCAATACTCTGATAATTTTTTCCACCCTAAAAAAAGCATGTAAGTTTGATATTAGATAACTGAAATGCAGAGGGAAGACCCGACAGGACAGGATTACGGTTGTCCAATGAGCTTGCCAAGCTTGACATTCCTGTGAAGCTTTTAATAGACTCCGCTGTGGCATATAGCATGGACGAGGTAGACATGGTTTTCGTTGGAGCAGATGGAGTGGTAGAAAGTGGAGGCATAATAAATATGATGGGCACGTACCAAACTGCATTGGTGGCTAAAAGCATGAACAAACCAGTGTATGTTGCTGCAGAAAGCTACAAGGTATTTAGATTTTTTACATCTTTATTAATCTAAAGACAAATGGGAGAATTTAGACTACTACTGCCAATGCCATTGCATAGATGAACATATCCAAATTCCATAAGTAAATTCCAATTTTTTTTCTTTCTTTCAGTTTGCTCGACTCTATCCACTGGACCAAAAAGACATGGTACCTGCATTACGCCCAATTGATTTTGGAGTGCCTATTCCTTCCAAGGTCGAGGTTGAAACATCTGCCCGGGATTATACGCCACCTCAGTATCTCACGTTACTCTTTACAGATTTGGGTGTGCTAACCCCATCAGTAGTAAGTGACGAGCTCATCCAGCTGTACCTATAACAATAATGAGATCTAATTTATTCGTGTTACCGTTACAACTAACTTAGCAGCAACAATTCACTGTGAATGATAAAGACGGGACCATTTTTACATCAGTTGAATATGTCAAGGACAGGCTGTTATTAGCCCTTGAATTTCATATTTTGTGTACAGCCTACTGTGCTGTTCCCTGAATTTTGGGTATCTGCACCTGTTTCTTTGATATCTTTTTTGACTTGTACTCTATTATTGTCGAACATTAATTGTTCATTGTTGACGCCTGATTGGGTTTTTTTTTGTCAAACCAGATGAAGGGGAAGGAAAGGAAAATTGATTTTGGTGTCTAGAATTCAAATACCCTGTTTAATGGCCATTATAAAGGGAAATTGGGGGAAAATGATGTTTTAAATAGGGATTATTATTAATTATTTTTTGGTAAAATGTATAATTAAAATGTAGGGAAAAGTTTTGAATTTATGTGCAAAATATTTTATTGTGTGAATTTGTGATTGAAAATCAGTATGAGAAATAGAGTTAAATCGGAGCCTTTGCTCGTTTGATACCATTTGTCTTTTACAATAATTCAAGGTCACTACAAAGTTATCTAGTAGTTCACATGCTTTTGTTTCTTCAGTTGAAAAGTCTCCTATGGCTTCTCTTGATATTTTTTTTGATGAATTATGCTATGTGTACATTTTGTCTTTCCACGAGACAATCATAGTCTTAGATTTTCCCAATTGCCTTTCACATCATTGTTCATTTTGTGTCACATAGGCGACAAGGTCATGGAATTTGTACACAAGAACTTACATCTGGCAAAATTCTTTTTCCGCTAGTCTTGGATACTTCAACATTCATGAAAACACATTGTGCCTTGCTTTCAATAGAGTCGATTGTATGAATTGTGTTTTGTCGCTTCATATAGCCAAGCTAGCAAAGAAGATTACATTGACCAAGGAGTCTAGCCTCCGATACTCTATTTTGTCTATAAATAATATTATATGTACGAAATGAAGATAATCTTCATGTGATATGAAGTGAAATGGTAAGAACGTCTGTCAAAATTTGTTGAATTTGGGACGTCGTTGGCCCCAGTTTGTTAGAACGTGGGTCCCTATTTCATTGTTTTTATTCTATTTTGAGTTTCTTTCCAATTTCCCAAGTATTGCTAAGGATTTATTGAGCCATCTAATTTTAAAGAATTCTCAATCAAATCATGTAACTTTAAAAATATTTTAATTCAGGTCACTCTATTAATTAGCATTAATATACAATGTATACATGCATGAAATTTGAAAGTAAGCAAAATGCCACATTAAACCTACATGGACTATTAGAGAGCCTATACGTAACATGTTGAACAACTTATAAATGGCCTGTAAAGTCAATTCTCTATTAAGGTTAACTTACTTAAAGTAAATTAATCGAGTAAGAATTGACAGGGAGAGTCATGCTTAGTCGTAGCCTTAAGAAAGAAATGACATTCAAGTGAACACAACATGCGTTAAAGAACTAAAGTAGCTCTAAAGTTGAGAAATGATTGATTTTCAATAAATCGTTCAACTGTCCACGTGAGACTTAGATTCAAATTTTGCATGACGACTTCCAGCAACTTCATCAAGTTGCCAACTTTTAACATCCATGGAAGCAAGCTCTAGCGACCCTGACTTACTGAACTGCTTGAATTGAAATAATTAAGAAGTTTGGTAACTTAAATTCTTGTTTGACAACCATTCTTTTAAAACTCCTTTTTCAAATACTCATTTTTAATTACATTCTCACAACAATATATTTTTCATGTAAATTTCAAAAAATTTCCAACTTTTTAATCATACTTTTTTTTTCTCTAAAATATTACTATTTAGAGTTCATTCTTTAAAAAAAAAAATAGTAATAATAAAAAAATAAAGAAAATCGTTTAAACTGGGGCTAATTGAGACCGTATATAGTCGGGTGACCTCTAATAAAAATTAATAAAAGAAAGACTTCGTGCACCAGCAATTTCCCGCCGTGCGGCGTTCGTGCGGATTTATCGCGTGCTCACTATTAATAGGCTGGCTTCCATAAGCTCACACATTCAAAAATTATCCTTCTTCTCTTTTCAATTTCCCAAAATTTGACAATTTCACAATTAAAACCTGAAATTCACTGAAAAGGAAACAATTCAGATATGTGTGGAGGTGCGATAATTCCGGAGACCGTAAAGCCGAGCCCATCGTCGCGTCGATTGATCGCCGACTTGCTCTGGGGCAGTGGAGTTGCAGATTTGAACAACAAGAAAAACTACCACTCGAACCCGTTGATATATAAGTCTGTCGTTGATGTTGACGATGATTTCGAGGCTGAATTTGAGGGGTTTAAACACTACTCCGTTGATGAAGTGGAGAACGATGGCAAGTCCTTGTGTTTCTCTGCTTCCAAACGGTCCGCCCTCCGCGGTAAAATTTAATTATATTCGTTTGTTATTTAGTTTGTGATATTTTTTTGTCAATTTTGTATGATATGGTATTTATTGAGTTCTCTGGTGTTAGTGTGTACTCTTTTTAGAAATTTATTGAGTTTTTGAAGTGAGTGTGGTTTAGTTATGAGATATTATTTTTATAGCTGATTTGTTCATTAATGTTTGGATTATTATGTGAAAATTTCTGTATTTTTTCGTTCATCGATCTGTTTGGGTTTACCTAAAAAGAAAGATGTATCTGAAATGTATTCTTGAAGGTTCTAAAGCTGTCAAATCTGCTGTGTCTGATGTGGATTCTGAAAAGCTCTTAAAGAGAAAAAGGACCGATCAGTACAAAGGGATCCGCCAACGCGCATGGGGTAAATGGGCTGCTGAGATCCGTGATCCAACGAAAGGTGCTCGGGTTTGGCTTGGAACTTTTAACACTGCTGAGGAAGCTGCAAGAGCTTATGACACGGAAGCTCGGAGGATCAGAGGTAACAAAGCTAAGGTGAATTTTCCTGAAAAAGTTGCTGCCTCTGCCACAAGACATATGTTTAAGGTGAACTCTCGTAAAGTGCTTCCAAAGGAAAACCAAGAATCAGTTCAGCCAAGTTCAACTTTCCAAGACATGTTGCATAATGACCTTCACAATTCTGTGTGTTTATTTGAAGAGAAACCACCAATGAAGCAATCTGGCTATGCTGATGTATACCCTAACACTGGTGATGTTGCTAATGTTTACTTCAGCTCTGATCAAGGAAGCAACTCTTTTGACTCTTCAGAGTTTGGCTGGGGAGAAAATTCTATGCGGAATACCCCAGAAATATCATCTGTTCTCTCTTCTGTTTTTGAAGACGACAAAGCTCAATTCATGGAGGATTTTAACCCTACAAAGAAACTGAAGTTAAGTTCTGAAGATACAGTGGCTGCTGATGATAACACTGTGAACAAGCTTTCTGAAAAGTTCTTGGCGTTTGAGTCGCAGATTAAGTTCTTCCAGATGCCATATCTTGACGGTAATTGGGATGCTGCCTCAGTTGATGCCTTCCTCAATGGAGATTCAACTCAAGATGATGGGAATGAATTGGATGTTTGGTCCTTCGATGATTTTAGTGCTATGTTTGGTGGGATTTAAAAAGCTCGGCTTCCCACTTCTTATGGCTTTCGTAAATAAGGCTACACTTTAGTATGGTTTGCTTACTGTACTAGCTTTTACCGAGTTACCTTGTTAAATATAAGTTCACATTCGACCTTGTTAACACTCTCTACTGGGAAATATGTATTAGATCTACCTTTGCACATGGTGCATGATGTAAACGTTGATTTCCTTTAACGTCGATTTCCTTTCTTGAAATCTATATTTAGCTTCTTGTTTTTTCAGTGACGGGATCAAAATGATGATGTGATGGTGTGTTTATTTTCTTTTACAACGATATGGATAAGATTCCATTATATAATTTCATGCCACCAAGCATATCTGTTATGTGTTTGTGGAAGTTATCCTTTCCCTTGTATTAAGAAATCTTAAAGCGCCATCAAACAAGAGAAAAAGGGAAATTGAGAAGAATTTGAAGCAAGAAAGGAATACTAGAAAGTTAAAAGTCACAGGAAAAACATCAAATGGAGAGCTCCTTTTAACATGATCACCAAAAAAAATTCTAAATTTTCAGTTTATTTCTCCTTCAAGAAATGCAGTATCTTTGTTTTCATTTACATTTTCTTGATAATCTTGTTGCTCGGAAATATTGCAGCAGTCGTTCTCTTAATCTTGAAGCCACGAATGCCTGTGTTTTCTCTCCAAAAAATTGATGTTGAATCTTATAAGATTGATGTAAATAACTCGGACCAAAACATATTTGTTTCATCGGTTTCATATCTGATTTTGGATGCAGAAAATCCAAACAAGGTCAGGTTAAGTTATGGCCCTTCAAGGTTTCATGTCCTTAGTGAAGGACTAGTGATAGGATTGATCCGAATCCCTCAGTTTCATCAGCCTCCGCTCAGCAAAAATGTAAGCGTGCAGATGCAGTTATCGTTTGAATGCATGAACATTAGCCATATGATCGCATCTGCAAGAAATTCATCCAAAGATAGCAATATTTTCCAGATTAAGATATCAGGTGAAATCAGAGCTCAGGTGGGGATTCTGAATATCACATTTCCAAAGCTGAAGATAGCGTTGGACTGTGAAATAAGTACATCGCATCTTTCACTTCGCGATGAAGTGTACAGCATGAGATGGATTAAGAACAATAATATGGTAAGGATTTTGAATCTTCTCATCAATTTTATAATTATTTCCGCTCTTTTTTCTCATCGATCGCTTTGTTTTGAAATTTTCAGATTTCGCTTCCTCTGAATTCCAATGCATTCTCCTACAAGTGTTCTTTGGGTATTTTGATGTAGTAAAAGAAAGAGTGATACCCGATGAGAGATATCATACTCGAACCTCTGAGTTATCGACAGATATTAAACTATTGGAAATCAAATCATATTCATATCGAATTCATATCAACACTGTCCATACTTATGTTAGCTTTCACTCAGTATAGAAACTCATGTACATCATTGTATACTGCAAGAAAAGAATATAAATGTTTTCTTCTTTCACTGCCAATGAGTAATAAATATAGGTATTACAATTTGTAGTGTATTATGGGCTCGTGTGGCAGAAATTCTACTTTTGCTTTTGCTTTTTGTAGAAGAGCAAGACAAAGTATTTTTAAAAAATTACCTAAACATGTTCATTAGTAACTTTTTAGTTTCAGAATCAGTTTGTGACTTTTCAAAAGCGCCATCAAACAAGCCCTATATGGCTTCGCAAATTCCTTCTCTTGAAATTTGACGTCTGAGTATTGAGCTTGAGGTTGGGTTTTCTCATGCTCCTATGTTGTTCTTGTTCATATTTGCATGAAAAAAGGCTACCCGAAATGTCCTCAAGCCCCTTCGAGGATCAAGTTAATAAGAACACAGATAAGTGCATGTAAATCAGGCTGGGGATATATATCCTCATAAATTTTTGCCTTGCACTCTAGTCCGATATGTGGAATAGGCAAGAGTAGTCTTATGGTAAGAGAATACTTGAAGGATAAAGTTTGGTGTACATAAATTTATGTAGACCCCACATCCATGTGAGTGTATGAACACCCTTATATACATAAAATTATGTACACTAAACATAACTCTTACTTGATTACTTGACTTTTCGCCAATATATTATTGATGCTATTGTATGCCCCAACTCCCTTGACCAAATGAGAGCTACGAGGTCTCAGTAGCAAATTTGCCTTGAGTTTTTGCTCATTGGGCCTTACATGTAACATCTAACATGTAATCTTCTCATGTGATTTACTTATTCGAAGAATAATTTGTTAGACAAAGTAATAGCAGAATATATATTTGATTACTTTAGAATGCTTAAAAAAATAGGGAATTAAAACTGCAGAGATATTTTAAGTGCAAAAAAGAGAATGAATAAACTAAAAATAGTATCCCCGACACATTAACCTCTTCCTATTCATCAGTATGAGTTTCAATTTCCCATTCACCCGATTATCATTTTTGACAAGAAAATATATGATTTCAAAGTTCTGATGGAGAAAAACACGAATTAACTTTGATCTTTCAAAATGAACGAAAGAATCCCTCAAAATTATTCCAAAATAGTCCCAACAAACCATCTTTTCCAACATAATTTAGATAGAAATCATGTTCTATGACCACACAACAATACTTGAAGGTATGACCAAAATGCTTAATATAGAAATAAAGAGACGACGATGCAACAAGAATAACAAGTTGGAAACGTAAGCTCCTATTTTCCCGTTTAAACTCTCGGAATATTCAAATTATGAGAGAGAGAGAGAGAGAGAGAGAGAGAGAGAGGGTGCGTGGGAGGGAGGGAGAATGTATCGAGGCCCGGCAGCCCGGGTGAGGGTTTTTGAAAAAAAAAAAATGAAAAAGAAAATTATTATAGCAATGTCCCAGCTAGGTAGCTAGCCAGCAATAAGAAAACCAAAAAGGTACTCCAAAGTCAGTGTTTGTATGCAAAATAATTAATTGTGACCGCAGATAGAGGCATCCATGCATCAACCTCAACCTCATGTCTTGCTCCCATCTCATCTAATTTTGTTTCTTTCTCTACTCCAACATCAACTTCTTATTGAATTTTTTCACATGTACCAATGAGTATGATTATATAATATATCTAGCTAAGTCAACAATTCAAATTAAAATTTAAAACCAAGCACGTGACATTTTTGAATAATGATTCAATTATAAGTTTATACAGCTAGCCTTGGAATTGGATCACTCTTATGTCAGTCAGCCATGGCTAAAGTCTTGATCTTGATTTTCTTGGCTCTCTCAATCCGAGCAAACTGCACACAGCTCATAGAGTACTGTCGAAAACCACCTGCACTGTTCGTCTTCGGCGACTCTTTCTTCGACCCGGGAAATAACAATTACATTAAAACTACAACTCTTGACCAAGCCAATTTCTGGCCTTATGGAGAAACCTACTTCAAATATCCCACCGGAAGATTTTCTGATGGCCGCTTGATTTCTGATTTTATAGGTATATATCTGATTTTTTTCTTTTTGAGCTACGAATTGTTCATTTGAACTGAATGTGAAATAAAGTGAGCTTCATGATGGCAGCTGAACATGCAAAATTGCCATTGATTCCTCCATATCTGCAGCCAAGAGATTATGACAGTTACTGTGGGGCAAACTTTGCATCAGCTGGAGCAGGGGTTTTGCCAGAAACTTTTCAAGGAGCGGTATGTGTTTTTCTGAATCTCATGCAAAAGGCAATTTTTGTTGTGCGAGTAAAGATGAAAATATTGAACAATATATGAGGATTTAGAAGGCACCTTTTAATAAGATTTATAATTTAAAATGCAATTTCAAAATCTCAATATGCAAGGTATATGATGTGTGTCTACTAAGCTCAAATGAGTTACTCTATCGGTCTAAGTCTTAGAAGAGCTATTAAATTTCAAGATTGATATTCTCAAACGAGCTATCATCTTGTGTCAGTATGTTAAAGGTAGAACCTCAAATAGATATAAGTGCATTATTCTCGTCGCTTAGAATTAATATTGAAAGCTCTATTTGACACTCATTTTCTAAAATTTGTATTTCTTGAATTCATTTTCAATTACAGATTTCATGAGACTTATAATTTTTCAATTATATATTTCATCAATTTTTATTAAAATTAATTAAAATTTTTATTTGTAATTGAATCAAAAAGTTGCTTGGTGACAGTAAACGTGCAAATGTTGACACGTTTACATGCATATAATAAGATATGACAAGAAAGAAGTGAATGAATGTGAAATCCCCACTGCAAGTTGTTAGCATTATTTGATAGGTTCATGCTATAGGTTGAAAACTAGGGCATATTTGAAAACCATAATAATTTGTTCATACTCGCATAAATAATTTTGGGACTAAACAAATGGTGCATGCTTTGCGCGGAGGAATTTTAAGTTGAATTATTAGGCAGTGTATATAATTTTTTGACCTTGTATGTCTTTTGTAAAAAAATAAAATAAAATTGCAACTTATATTTTTTTTTGAGAAAATTTAAATATATCCATCAAAATATAATTTTAATGGTCCGAATCTTTAGTTTGTACGTATGTTCGACCCCCTATTTGGTACAAATTAAAATTCAGATTTCAATTTAAGTTAACGTCAACGACTAATTTTAATCACATTTACGAGATCAACAACTTTTCAATTACACATTTCAATGACTTTTATCAAAATCTACTAAAAGTCTGAGTTTAATCCCCACAAAACAAGTGCTATAATGTTTTGTCTCAATTGACATTGATGTTTTAGCTAAAGTAGTCATGGAAGCATAATCACGTGCATTAGTAGTTTAAGTCAACTAAGTAACGCATTTGGTCAGAAGCTTTACCTTTATCTTAGGTTTAATCACACTTCTAGCTGTAGGTATAATTTTTAATTGCTTTATTCTTCCTACTTTTTTTTTTTAGTTAATAATGGGAATAAGTATAAATCAAGAACAAGCTTGAATATTTGATTGAGGTGTATATATATATATTGAACTTATTATGATTTTCTTAACGAGTTTAGAAACTTAAAGTGAAATTGTTTGTTAGGTGATTTGTGGTTGATTAGCTCCCTGTTTGAATTCCAGTCTTTTGAAAAAATACATTCTTAAATAGTATTTTGACATTATTTCAATCACATATTCTTTAATAAAATAATATTACGCGTAAATTTAAAATTTTTCTTTATTTTTTAACCACATATTTTTCATCAATACACTATTCAAAAATATATTTTTATAAAAAGAATAGGGCTCAAACAAGGGCTAAAATTCATAATAGAACTTAAAAGAAATTTTCTATTTTGTTCGCAAATTGTTCTCGATATTCTTTGCATCGATCGATATGCTGATGAGTATTCTTTGCTCTTCCCTACATCAAAACTAAGAAGATTTCACACGCCGATGGTCACATTAATATAGGTATTTGGTGTTGAATGCATTATACGTTCATGACATCTATGTAAAGATTTACACTTTGAGCTAATAATAATTGAACAATACGAATTTGCTTAATGTATTGACACTATTTATAATGTTACATCTGAGCCGTCCTAATTCTATACTAAGGGCCCATTTGGTAGGGATTTTGAGAATTGATTTTTTGACTGTTAGAAGAAAAGTGGGGTTCACATGTGAGAGAAGAAGTCAAAAATTACGGCTTGAATAGTAAAATAATGGGTCAAAAAATCAATTTTTTGGGGCAAAAAATCCCTAGCAAACGGGGCCTAATATCAAGTATGAACAATCCAGCTAGACTCGTGTTTGTGTAGAATAAACCTATCCTAACTAATTTTACAATAAGGGTCCGTTTGATTGTAAAAATGAAATTGAATTGCTAAAAAAATAAATTCCAGGGAATTGAATTGTCTAAAAATTATTTTCCTGAGAATTGTAAATTATTGTGTTTGATTGATATAATTTTTCACGTGGAAAATATTGAAATAAAAGTATTTTTTAATGTTTGTTTGACTTTGTTTTATATGAAAATTGTCAATTAAAGGGATAAAATTTACTGGTATTGGGAATGAAATTTGTTCCCATTGCCAAAAAAAAAAATCATCTATCTTTTGATGTTCGTTTGGCCTTATTTTACATTAAAAATGTCAATTAAAGGGAAATATTTTTTTTCCAATAATTTTTAGAATTTGTTTTCATTGCCAAAAAATAATAATAATAAAAAAATCGAAAAAAATAAAAAAATGCTACAGTAACCGGGAATTGCAATTCTCACATTTTTGGTGAGAATTACAATTCCTTGAATTCATGGAGATTGGCTTATGTGGCACCAAAGATGAAATTTCATTTTTAGGGAAAAATGGGGTATCAAACAAGGCTAAATTGGAAGATGGAATTTCAATTCCATTTTTCATGGAATTCCACCTCCAATCAAAGACACCCTAAGTTAATGTACACTAGGATTGTAAAAAAGATTTGTTTGAACTGTGTAGAACTTTATCTCTTATAATACATACAGTATAATTTGGTATTAGTATTTACGGTAAATGACCTACCTGAATTGATGTATCAGGACATCGATGTTTAGTAGATAATTTCTCAAGCATTTATATATATGTTTTGAAAATCAGATAATGCATAAATTGTAATAAACCAAGTACACTTTTTTCGAATGAATTAATTATACAAGACATAATTTGAAAAAGAAAATAGAATATTTTTAAAGAGTGTTGTCTAACATTTTTCATTTGTATAAAAATAGGTAATTGATCTCAGAATGCAGCTAAAATACTTCGAGAAAGAGGTAAATGCAGCTCAATTGAGAAAGAAAGTTGGGGCTTTTGATTCAAAAATGATTTTATCAAATGCTGTCTTCTTGTTTAGTATTGGGACAAATGATTATATAAGCCCCTTCGTGCTAAAAAATTCATCCATGCTGCCTTCTCATCAAGAATACATTGCCATGGTAATCGGCAACCTCACACAAGTAGTAAAAGTAAGTCGATTTCTATGTATAATTTAGTAAAATAAGTAACTTGAGTATGTTCGAGTTCGAGTTCAAGTTTATGAGGTCATGTATGCAGGCCGTGTATAAAAGAGGGGGCCGGAAATTCGGGTTTCTGAACTTAGGAGACTTGGGTTGTCTTCCCGGCCTAAGAATTTCTAAACCACAAAACGGAAGTGGGTGCTTGGAAGAGGCTTCAACCTTGGCAAAACTACACAATGAGGCACTTCAAAATGTCCTAAACAAAATGAAGAACCACTTGAAGGGTTTTAAATATTCTCTGTATGACTTCAACACCTTTCTTCGACAAATTCTCAATCACCCTTCCAGATACGGTATTACTTAACGATTATATCTTAATTTAGTGAATTTAGTTCAAATAGTCGAGCTAGCTATTTTGATACTTTATAGTTATGTCATATGATCTATGTTCGTACTTATGTAGGTTTTAAAGAAGGTGAAAAAGCGTGTTGCGGGAGTGGGCATTACAATGGAATATTTAGTTGCGGAGGAAAAAGAGGAGTGAAGGAATTTGAGCTTTGTAAAAATCCAAATGAATTCATCTTTTGGGATTCTTATCATTTGACAGAGAGTGTGTACAAAAAAATGGCACGTCAAATGTGGTATGGACCCTCTAAAGGACCTTACAACCTAACGCAATTTTTTCAATGCCTCTAAATTAATGAATGCCATTCAATTTTTCTTCTATGTTCTATATTTATGTCCAAGCATGCAGCTGCAACTATTTTATTTATTGCACAAACATTGCCTAAAATACACCATTAGGCTATCTCATTAAAGCTAAGTCACACGAGGCTATACATGGTGTTACTTGTATAAATATCAAAATTTTCAGTTTTACATTTTTACCTGGGTTAAATGTCGTGTAATTAGTGTTACATTTCATTAAATGTCAATAAACTTTAATATGTTGTATAGTCATATATTATTTTATTATTAATGAATGTTCACACACGCCTATGAAATGTTGTCTTATAATACATTACGTTTTATTAAAAAACTAATATTTTACAATTATAATATGTTGTGTTATCATGTTTTGATCTACGATTATCATCACCATCCGTGGCCACTCGATTTCTCTTAGTAATAACTCCTTCCGTTGTAAATATGAGATTCGCAATCTAAAACCTAGTATCATCATTGCCGACACCCGAAACTACAACATCCCATATGTCACCACAACTCACCACAACCATATACCACTCAATTTAGTACATCTCAATTAGATCACAAAAATTCAAATAACTTTGATGTTAGTCGCCGTCGCTAAAATAATGTCACAATCTTTCGTGAATGTTAAAAATTGTTAATACTATAATGTATTTTTATATTGTATATTAAATTAAATAGACTACTCAGTCATGTCATTACTGTAAAATTTGAAAATAAATCTTGTTTGAAAATCGATCCTAATTCATTCAATGGAGCATATTGAGAGCTCTACTCATCTTAAGTTTATGATTTGCAGTGATTATGTGTCACCTTTACCTATAAACATGGTACAGACGAATGTGACTAAATTGAATAAATTCGAGTTGAATGGCATTCTATTGCAACAAATTGAAGTTGAATTATCTAATTGAGAATTACCTAAAAGTTCAGTGACCAAACATATCCCAATATACCATTTGTTTCACCTAGGTCTCCAACTTCTTAAAATTTCGACACTCAAGTTCCAGCCGACGGAAAACGTTTATTCAATGGTTAAATGACTGCTTGACATTTACACGATGTCGATTATTGCTTGAAGCAAAAACATATGTTCGTTCATAAATTTTTTTCTATTCAAAATTTTAAGTGAAAGTTAAAGTCATTATTTTGATTGTTTTGGAATATTGTAAATCTTTTTCAATAATTTTATTCTTTAATCCTAGGGTGGTAAATGGGTCGAGCTAGGGAGATCATCCGACTTGGCTCATGTGCGGCTTGTTTTGAAACGAGTTGAGCTCACATTATTTTTCATGAGCCGAATCGTTTGGGCTTGTGAGCTCATGGATTGGGCTTTTATTTTATTTATTTATTTTTTTTGGAACTTATGTTGCTATTTTATTTTAAAAAATAAAAGAATTGAGTCACTTCGACTTGAGTCATGGATGGCTCAACTCTTTTGGGGCTCGTGGGCCGTCAGCTCATGAGGCCCATGAGCTTAGGGCCAAGTCAAGAGGAACTCGAGCTCGGCTCGTACCTAAACTGAATCGAGGGAAGAGTTGAGCTCGGGGTTGTAAGGGTAGAGCCCTTTCCAATTACTTTCGGTATCGAGTGAGTGTCACGTGACTATTTAATTATTTTCCTTTAGTTGGTGACATGGGTGCAGAAATTTAAAAGATTGGGTATCTGAGTACGATAAATGATAGGTTGGAGATATGGGCTCAACACTTTAGGGAAGGTCGAGGATCCCGTTGGAATTTACCCAATGCCGTTTTCTTCTTCTTCTTCTCCACTGACTAGTGCCCTAATTCCTAAACCCTTTTCTGGCATAAACGCACAAAAACCATACTTAACATGGGACAAATGGGGGGTGTTAAAGCATCCAAAACCACCAAAGACCTAGACCACGTTAAATCCGACGTCGCTTTTTTTGCCTCCTCTATCGACTTCTCCTCTGCTTCCTCCTCCGCAGGCGAATTCATATTTCATTTCAGTCTATAAAGTTTAATTCTCGAATTTACATAAAAATCAGAAATTGGCAATATAGAATGTCAAGGTTTAGGGCTCTGTTGCAAGCTTCTCTTAATGCTACTAAAAGAGGTATCTTTTGATCATTACCTCGTCATCCGATTGAACTCGTTGATTTTTTGTTCTTCAGTATATTCTTTTCGATTTATCTATTGTTAATTTAGCTGATGTAAATTTTTTTAGAAATTTTTGAATTGAAGTTATGATTAGTATCGGGCTTAGGAAATATCTCGAAAAGAAAATGAATTTATGTTGGTCTTCTAATAATTTGATTCCTTTCCTATTGTGGAAGAGTTCTACAATTTGTTTATTTGTATTTAAAATATTGAAAAGCCTCTGGCAGGGTGTTGCAAATATAATCATAAAAGAGATCGCAAGGGTAGATAGATTTTGGTTTGTTACGGCTTTCTATTCAACTGAAGGGGCCAATAAAGTTTATATAGATTTTTCTCAAGGGTTGGTCTTGAAGCAAATGGATGGTCATCATTTTAATTGAACCACTACAACTTGTTTCCTTTCTCTAGAATTCTCCCCACGTTGTATTGTAATTATACTGCTGAGGTGCTGTCATGCTGGTTTTTAGCAAAATATAGTCTGTGTTAAAGCTTAATTTTTGTTAAAAGTAGTTATAAACGATTACGGATTTCAAGCGTGAAACATTCATCTGCTATTTTATCTTTTGTGTTAGCCAGAAAGGCTGTGAGAAGGAGGTAGAGAAACATTACTTTTGAGCGCTTCTTTAAACTCCCTGGACTTCTGAAGATGGTTGATCTTAGAGAAAATTGTTTGTATTTCATAAATGGAAAGTTGGCGCATCACCTATGTATCATCCAGATGATGAGAGATCTATGGATTTAACATTATACTACTCTATTCTCAAGTAATAACTATAATCAATCCTCAGGTATTGCCATCAAATAATTTGATAAGTTCCTGGACAGACATCTAGATGGAATGGAGTGATGCTGCAAATTGTAGTCTCTTCCCTTTGTTCTGAAAGAAAAAAAAAAAATCATCTAAATAAAATGACAGCTCATAGTGATTTCCTTTTCATTTTTCAGTTATTGACTGAGTTTTCTGATGAATACATCTTTTTATTTACCACCTTCATCCTGTTATCATTTTGTTTGTTATCTTGTAGCTTTGGTATGGAATGTTGATGACTTAGTTCCACCAAGTGAAAAGTATATTTTCAATTTTAATTCGAAAGAGGAGCTTAAAAGGTGGCATTTGTATTCGGATTCTGAATATGGAGGTAATGTAGATGTGAAAATTTGATATCTCAATTTCCTGAATCTGAGTTCTAGAAAGTTCAATGACCCAGACACAGCAAGTAAATAATCTTATCCTATTTGTATGCTACATATCCCATGTTAACTTACCAAAAAGAAACTACATTGCATTTTTATCCCTGCGTTTATAAATCTCTACCAATATAGTCAGTTATGTATAAATGATCAAAGAACTCAACCAGTGGAAGATTAGTTTCAATAGAACACTGGTTGATGTTGATATTTTAATTGAACCTATAATATTGCATTTTCTACATGATGTCGGAGTTTCTACTACGTGTAGTGTAGCAGCACATGCCACAAGAACTATTTTAGAGAAATGTAAATGCATGGGGACTTTTATAATGGTCGAATATAACTTTTCAGGCTTGTCATCCGCATCCTTGGAGATAAAAGAGCCTGGAAATGGATCAAGTGGTATTGGTCAGTAATTATCTCTCTTACCTTGCGACAGTAATTATGCATATGTGCATGTGATTTACAATTTTTCTCCTCTTCCTCTGATTTATATGCCAGTAACTAGCTATAAATCTCATAAGAACTTTGATGAAAAGTCAATCTTCCCTTTCTTAGTTCTTGGAAACAAATTGTAGTTGAAGTACATTATCATTAAAAGTTCTTTGATTTGAATACCTGGTCTTGTCTGCCAATTTTATTTGTTGTAGCATAGCTGAGTCCAAGTATATATACATATATATAGACAAATACATATTTGTGTGTACATGTATTTATGTGCATGTCCACAAGCCAGAGAAGTTAAGACTGTTTATTACGATTACTTTACTGAATACTATTCCAGTACTCAACTCTTGAAGTATCTTCTGGCATTAAAATTCTTCTGTTTAGTGTATCATCGTCTTACGTAGTTTTGAGATCCCTGCTGAACCTTGATTGTTTTCTATTTCTGTCGTAGGCTTATTTTCTGGGAACCTTTCTTTGGATGTCAGTGAGAGTTCACGATGGAATATAACTCGTAGCGGATTCTGTGGAATGCGGTCTAAAAAGGTGCATGATATTCATAAACTTCCTGCTCATCTGCAGATCAAGGGTCACATGAGACTGCTAAAGTTCCATCTACTTGACCAGTGAAACTCAAGAGTTCTTTAGCACTAAAGTTCATCAAAAAGACCCCTTGATCTTAATATTCATGTTGAGAAATTAGGGCTTTAGCTTTGTCAGCATATTGTTAGTGGCTACTCTAGTGAACTTTCATGCTAAAATGAAAAATATGCTACAGACATTGGAACATTTTTCTTTTGGCTGTCATCTTTTGTTTCATAATGACTTCCCCTTCCATTTGTTGCTTTTGTAGTTTGATGGCTTCATAGATTTGGATGGTTACGACACATTAGCACTAAAACTTAAAGGAGATGGGAGATGCTACATTTCAACTGTGAGTACTCCAACTTTTACCTAACACAACGTAACATGCCCAAGATTTGACTTAAAATGGTAGGGTGCTTTGAAGTTTGCAATGGCGATAAACTTGCAAGTCAAAAGAGAGCACCGCCGGTGTTTAGCACCAATCTGCGTGGCAACACGTGGAATTAAATAATAGGTCTAATAAATGTCTAGATATTGACCCATTAATTAGACCTCTCATTTGATGCGGCACGGATTGGTCCTAGACACCAGTAATGCTACATAGCATTACTCGAGTATAAAACGCGATTATGGAAATATTGAAAAACTATTGGACCAAACTTGATTCAGCCTTCATCCAATTTCAATGCAGATTTATACAGAAAACTGGGTGAATTCTCCTGGACAACAAGAAGACAACTCATGGCAGGCATTCGTTTTTGTGCCTAAAGACAACTGGTATATTGCGAAGGCAAGCTCTCTCTCTCTCTTTGTTGCACATTCACACACGCAATTGGACACATTTTTGTTTGCAATCCCCTTATTTTTTATTTCTCTCTGTTTTTGGGTATATACATGTCTTATGTTCGTTCAATTTTTTTTGTAACCTGAGATGATTCTGGCAAGCTTAAATTATAATTTCAACAGAAAAAATATACTATTATCCACGCATTTCATAGGAATAGGACACACAATTTACTAACCACTTATTATTCATGCATTCCATAGGACCCAAAGCACTACCACACAAGCACAGCATGCAACTTATGAATATAGTAAGAAAAAGGAGTTCCTCGAACTGATTTGGTGTATAGGCATCCTTCAAAAGAGTTTGCCGTTTAAGTTGTAAAGTTTGATTTATGTTGAACTATGTGTTACACTGTTACAGTCTAGCGTACACTGCTCATCTGATGGCTCACAGCTGCATGACTGCAATGAGTTTTGCACAAAATGGAATGAAGTGTTAATGATTTGTATATTAAAATGTCAATATCTGGTTGTGCAGATTCCTCTTGCTCGATATCTGCCAACATGGAGAGGTAATGTGATAGATGCAAAGCTAGAGATGAACCCAGCACGAGTGGTTGGCATGTCTCTATCTGTCAATGCAGAAGGTGGAATTCCCGATGCTAGATCTGGTCCAGGTGATTTCCAAGTTGAAATTGACTGGATAAAAGCCTTGAGAATGCAGTAAATTAACGAAAATCACTGTCCAGAGGGCACAAAACTTAATCTTCGGGAAGTGAGGCAGTTTTACGCGTGTGCTTGTGTTTTAGTGTATAATCATAACGAGCATGCGAAAGCTAAGTCTGATTATTATGCTTCCATGCACATGTTCAATTTTGTTGGTGAGTACTTGAAATTATGGAACTGGGAAAATCCATAGACTAGTTATGCCTACAGAGTATTACATGGTAGGTTCGTCTCTTTCTAGTGACCTGATTTTCATGGGAATATTTTGGGTTAGAAATAAAATGTAAAAGCAATATTTGTTGCAATAGGACCAACTTATTTAGGTGCCTTTTTTACATACTACTTGTTCATGTAAAAAACAGGAGAGAAAATCAAACTGCTACATAACAAATTTGTTTTCTTGAAAAATAACTGTGTGGCAGACATGAAAAATATCAAATGTAGAGATGACCATTGAATTATAATGAAAAAGAACCATGTAAATTATGACAATCATATAATATTATCTTTTATTGCCACCATTTTCTATCTGCTTATTATTATCTTAGCTCAGAAAGGTAATTAAAATATTAATGATAATTATGAGCACAGCATTTCCAATATTTGATATAATGCATTTGAAACCAGTAAACCTAAAATTTTAACTTGGAAATTGGAATTAGATGAATCAGTCCCTAATTTTGTGATAAATAATATATAATTTTTTTTAAAGAATGTGTGGTTGAAATGTAAAAAAAATTGGGTTTAAGTGCAAAATTATTTTATTGAAAAAATATATAGTTGAAAGTGAATAGAGAAAAAAATAAGCTAAAGAATGGGGCTCAAATAGGTCGGTTCGTGGGTCGAAATTCAAGGCTTGAGCTCGGCTTGAATAAAATCAAACGGGCTTTTTTCGAACTCAAGCTGAGCCGAGCAAAAGCACGGCAAAAAAAAAAAAAAAAAAAAGCTCGACCTGAGCTTTCGACTCGGGCCTTAGCGAGCCAAGCTCGAGCCGGCTCGATGCTCTCTCTCTCTTTAATCATATTGGCATTGCCGCTAGCTTTCTTAAGGCAGCAGCCAGGCCTTAAAAATAAACGTTGTCCTTTTCTTTTTTTAAATAAGGGGCTTGAGCTCGAGCTTGAGCTGGCGAGCCACATGGGCTGGCTCGGGCTAAGTTCGAAACCTTAAAATGGGGTTTTATCTTAGTCTCGACTCTTTTCGGGCCAAGCCATAGGCTGTCCGAGTCGACGAACCCAATTGACATCCCTATGCTCAAACAAGATATTTTTATGGAGCCATTAAAAAATTGAGAATTTCAATTTTTTTATTTTTTATTTTATTTTTAGAGTCATTTATAAATAGTGATGACAATTGGCGGGATAGCCTCTCCCTCGTCCCTTTGGAGTAACGCTATTTAACATTAGTATCATTTGGCCCTTGTTTGAGCCTCATTGTTTGGTAAAAGTAGATGAATGACTAAACAAAGACTAGCTAACGAACCAAAACCCAACCAATAACTAAGATTTGGAATAATGAATTTTTAAAGAATGTGAGGTTGAAAAGTTGAAAAGTGTATTTTCTGCATTTATTTATGCCATTTTATTAAATTTTTATGTCGTCAAATTATTAATTTCTATTTAATTTGGGTTATTTTTTGTTTGTTTTAGTATTTAACTAGTTTTGAAGCATAAATTGGCCATCGGATGGAAAGTTTGGAATCAAATTCTACATTTTGAAAATTGAAGGACTTGAATTGAATTAAAGAAATATGTTGGTTGCTCAATTAATTGGATTTGATGGCTAGAATACACATTCTAAAATATTGTTGGACATTTGTGCAAATTACAATTACATATGGCAGGAAGACGTGGAATTTGTTGTCAAGGTGGATTTTGACACTTAGAATTTAATTGGGCCTTGGACCAATTGATAAAGGGGAAGGAATTAATGTGGACTTGGATTTGAAAAAAAGGATGTGGGCTTTGCTTGTTGAGCTTGCTTTTGTATCAAGTGGAAATTACAGGAATCCTAGAGTTAAAATCTAGGGTTCCAAAATCATATTTGAACTTTGCAATTTCATAAACCAGATCTTTTATTAATTAATGAACAAATTAAAAAATTAATTAATCTATAAAATAAATAATAATTTCAAACCCTGCTTATTTCATTCCCCTGCCCACCACCAAAACCCAATTCTCTCTCTCTCTCTCTCTCTCTCTCTCTCTCTCTCTCTCATCTGATCGGTGAAAGTCGATGGAGGATCAACGATAGAGGAGCTCCTTCGTTCCAGCTTCACTGATCGATAGTTGTGGTCTGCTCTGTTGCACATCGCTGATCGACGCTACTGCGAACTTCTCCATTGCAGCGTCGACAAAACTGGTGGCGAGGGCTTTTAGTGTCGGATTTGGCAGCAATCTGGCTGTGAATGACGGGATCTGGCGGTGACCTCTTACAGCAGCGATTTGGCTTAGATCTGTAGCAACGACTATAACCGGAGGTCGTGGTGGCGACGAGGAAGGTTTTTTGTTTTGTGTGATGGTCGGCGACGAAGAAAAAACATGTGTGTGTTGCGACGGTGGGTATTGTGTGGTCAGTGGTTGTTTTGTGATTGAGCCGAGGTGATGGCAGTGGTGGTTGGTACGGGCGGTGGTGGTACAGTTCGGTGTCAGATTTGGGATTTTTCTGGCGTGGTCGTGTGGCCGTGGGTGCAGTGCAGTGGTAGTGATGGGTTTCGTTGTGGTTGTGGTGGTCATGACAGTTTAGTAGATTTTGTGACAAGTAATTGGACCCGTGACCTGAAAATTGTGACCGTGAGTTGATCGTGATGGTGGTTGTGGCAATCATGTGGTGGTTGTGGCGATTTGATTGTTTTGTGACTAATAATTGGATATGTGACCTGAAAATTGTGATTATGACTCCCAATTATGACTCACAATTGATTAATCGTGATCAAGTAATCAAATAATTTACAATGAAAGTTTTGAATCTGTGGTGATGAATAATTCATGAGTCGTGGCCTATAAAATTTTTAGACTCGTGATTGAAAAGTATTTTTGTGATCTATAAAATTTTTTATGTGTGATCGAAAAATAAGTTGCGACTAATAATTTGATAAATTGTGACTAAAAATTAATTTGTGATTAATTAATTAGTGACCTAAAAATAAATAATATGTGACCTAAAAAATGTAATTGTAACTCATAATTTATTGAGTTAGTGACTGTAAAAATTAATTGTGACTAATTATTTTGAAAATTTGTGACTGATAAATGAATTGTGATCAATAAAATTTTTATGATAAATAAATAATACATGACCTAAAAATTGTTTGTGACTTATAATTTATTAAGTTGTGATCAAAAAATTAATCTGTGACCTATAAAATTTTTGATTCGTGACTGAAAAATAATATGTGATCCGTAAAATTTTTAATTTGTGATTGAAAAATAAGTTGTGATTAAAAATTAATCTGTGACTAATTATGTTTTTTATTTGTGACCGATGAGTAAACTGTGACCTACAAAATATTGAATTGTGATCATTGAAAAATTTGTGACATAAATTTTTTGATTTATGACCAAAAAATAATAAGTAATTAATTAAATTATTAATTTGTGACCAAATTGTGTAGATCTGCGACCTAAATATATTTAATTAATAAAATAATTAATTAACTAATTAAATCATAAATAAATTTTGATAAAAATCTAATTTTTGAAGTTTGAAACTTATTTTCTTAATTTTGAAATGTGTGGTACTTAAATTCTTACTTATGAAATTATCAAATTGCTGGGACATTTTTTTATGGACTTTTGATGGGCTGGAAATGCAAAAGGGCTGTTTTGGTTGAATTCATATATATATATACACACACACACACATAGAGATGATCTTCTAAACATTGGTGACATGATACATCATTTAATTGGTGAATAAGTTAATAGTAGGTCTCATATATTTAATGATTTACCAATTAAATGATGTGTCATGTTATATTATCGATATTTAACATAAACTAAGTACCGATACTTAGGAGATCATTCCTATATATATAAATAAGTTCTTATCAATTGTCAAAAGTTTATAGAAAAAGATAAAAATGACAAAAGAGTAGTATGAGAAGAAAGTAGTATGAAACAGGAGTATTTATTATTTTGTGTTTGATTTTGTTGTTTCAAAGAATGTGTAATCCACCCCTTTTTATAATAGAAGAATTCAACCATCTCATTATGAAAATTAATAAAATTCAACACATGTTACAAATTTAATAATGAGATTAAATTTTGTATTTAATATATATACACACACGTTACACGGCTGGTGGCTGGGAAAAAAACCACGGAAAACGGCAGCTGCTTGGGGGCAGGAATCAAAGGTCGTTGCTGCCTACTGGAGAATAAAAAAGGGCAGCCAACACTTACTGTTTTGAAAGAAAAAAAGGGCTACTGTTCGGGAATAAGGAGAACCAAAAGTTTCCTGTTGCTGAGTAGTAATATATATACACAATTGAGGCAGCATTGAGAATTAGAGTTAAACTTTTGGGAGACAAATTGGGCTGCTGTAAACACAAGAACACGGGGCTGCCGACTGAAATTAATTGATATATACACACACACTGAAAACGGCAGCCAAGGAAGAAAGGAAAAAGTCAGAAATTGGGCACCAAGAAATATATTATACACGCACGCAGACAATTGAAGAAGAAGAAACGAGCTGCCTGCTGGAAATTAAAAGGGAGATTACTGGAGTATGTATATATACACGGCAAGAGGCAGAAATAGGATATTGAGGGGTCATTCATTTACAATTCGGCGGGTGAAAATTACGGCTTTAATTGTGAAATTCATCACGTTCCGTCGATTTTTGGGTAATATCTTTTCACTTTCATTCGTTTAATTTCGACATTACGCGTGGCTAAATTTTTATATTACTAGAATGCGATGAACCTTTATTATGAATTTTTAGTTTTTATGATTAGATTGACGTTAATTTTGTTTGAATATTTGGATGCTTATTATAGTTTAGTTTGCTATTCAATTACTTGGCCAATAATTGAATTGTTTGTGAATTTTATTATCATCGAGATAGATAATAGGATCAATAGCACATAGTGATAAACATTGTGAGGTTCAATAGATAATAGAAATATACCTCTATGCTTCATTTTATAAGATGTCCTATCTCGTTTAATGCATTTATCATGTTTACATCTTTCATCGAGAGATAAGATCACATGAAGGGAATAGATTTGACAACTATCAAGAGGGGTTTTCTATTAAAATAGAAATATTGACCAACAAGCATCATTTCAAATTGTCAATTTAAATTGTCGAACTAAAAATGGAATAGCAAGGGAGAGTCTACATCTGAGCAATATTTCTTGCGAATTTGATAAATTTTCTTTACATTGCTTTTAAGTTAGTAGATAGATTTAATAGTGTTTAGTTACTACTTGATTTTGCTATTCAATTAAGGGTAGTGTTAGTTTTAACTCGATCAAATACATAGTTCTCATGAATATGATACTCTATATATAACTTTATTACTTGTTTACGATTCCGTCCACTTGTGGGCAATCAAATGATCAAAAGTACAAAAAAAAAAAAAAATATTTTAAATTTGTATGTAATAGTGTTTTATTAAGAGAATATGCGAGTAAAAATGAGTTTAAATATCAACTTTTTTTCCAAGTCAATATGGGGCCTAATTCATTGAAGAAGTCTGGTGAATCTTCCCAGATTCCATTATCATTATTTTTAGCTATTTAATCACTGTTCCAAATTTTGAAGGAATTGTACTTAGCTTTGTTTTTGTTGGTAAAAAATAAGTCCATGTTTGGTATGGTTCATTCAAAATTTATTTTTCTGTCCAAACTCATTTTGAACTACACATTTTCTTCATAAAATAATTATGCGCCTAAATTTATAACTTTTTTTTTCTACTTTTTAACTAACCCATTTTCCAAAGATATCACTTTCAATACAAATATACATCAAAATTTATTTCCACTTGTCATTTGAATTGAAGACGTTCAGTTTGGTACAACTGCAAACAAGCAAGGCCTATATTAGGGGAAAAATTCACAAACCATGGTTTAAGTATGCACACTTCAAAATTCACGTGGTTAAGTTTAATTATGCAAAAATTAGGTTTTTATCTAATTAATTAAAAATATTTAATAATTAAATATAATAAAAGTCAATTACACAATTAATGGTCACAGATCTCCAATTATAGGTTACAGATTTATTTATTAGTCACATGTTATCAAATTAATTGGTCACAGATTTTTTCGAGGTCACAAATAAAAAATTGTTATTTTGAAGTCACAAATCAAAATTTTTATAGGTCACAATTTTTATCACTCGTCGCAAATCAAAAAATTATAGGTCACAAATTATCTATTAGTCACATATTTTTTAATTCATTGGTCACAATTATTGAAGTTTAAGGTCACAGGTCAAATAGTGGGTCCCATCGGCAACCACTGCCACCACATCCACGACGACCACCACCATCTCACCACCGCAGCCATCGCAACAACTACCACCCAATAAACTGCCAGCAAATTAGAACCACGACCACACAACTCCATCAACATCAACTCCACCACAGCCACCGCCAATAACTACACATACAGCCAACAAAAACCAACGCAAAACTTCTGTGCCACTAGATGAAATGATACAGTACAACCGGCATCCCGCAAATAGCACCACCTCACCATCTCCACCCCGTCGTCGCCATCAGTCCACCACCGTCTCCCCGATCCAGAGCTACACTTCTAAAGCACCATCGCCACCCGTCAACCACAACATTCGTCACCAGTTCACCACCAGATTCGCCCCATTCAAAACGAAAACGAAGATCTCACCTCAGATCTAAACAATTATTTGTCCCAAACCACCCAAAAAAGCCCCAAAATCCGCACTACGCATCGGTAGAGAATAGATACGGGGATGAGGGTGACCAACCACCGCCCAACGACAGCGTGGTGGTAATGTCGGCGACTAGGTGGAGGTGACGCTGTCTCATCAGAGAACATCTTCCACGATGTCGCTACTATTGTTGAGAATTGGGAGAAGACAGTAGAGACTAGAGGAGGAAATACCTCTAGATAGCCTAATTAAAAGGGAGTTTTGTAAGTTAGACCAAAAAATATAATCATTTGAGAAATAGCCTTTTAATAATAATCTTTCCAAAAATACTCCTCATTGAGAAATTGCAATCAAAGCTACTACAATGTATAAAAACTTTCAATTAGGTCCCCAAAGAAATATAGATAAAAAATCTTTAATAAATTTAAACCCAAATCTTATACAAAATTTTATTGATCTAAAAAACTCAACAGAAAGTGAATTAAAATATTTAGAAGAAGATCCGAAAGGTTTCTTTACAGAATATTTAGATCCAAAATTAAAAAATAAAAATATTTCTATAGATAATAGAACAATCAAAACAGAAAAAGATATATATAAACTAATTCTTAACCTGAGAAGAAGAATTAAAGAATTAAATATAATTATTGAATAAAAAGTTTTAATAAAAAATAGTGAATTTTATAAATTCTATTGTGATATTTTAAATATTTATGAAGATTTTAATTGGCTTAAAAATCTTAACCCCTCCGTTGCACACTCCGGTGAAATGGTATCAGAGCCATGTTACGAACAAAAAATTATGATGAATATAGTAGATGAAGAAAATATAATTGAAGAAATTTTGAAAAAAGTTGAAAAACATAAAAAACCTAGTTATCCCTATTTACCTAAAAACACCACAAATGAAAGTTTTGAGGATATACATAAAAGATTAGAAAATCTAGAATATAATCTACAAATAGGAAACGCTTTTTTAGATAAAAATCTTTAAGGAAAATATAGGATTATAATAAATCCATCTCAAGATTTTAGGATAACATAAAAGGAAAATAATAAAAGGAAAAAAATGAAGAAAAACAATATATGATTACAGATGTAGAAGAAATAGGACAAAAATTCTTAGAATCTACAGGTGAAGAGTATGAAGAATATAAAAAACAATTAGAAGAATTAACTGAAAAAATGGAAAATACAAAGATGAATACTAATCTATCTTTAAATCAGAATATAAAAGTAGAATTCAGTAGTGATGAAAAACAATATTATTCTTATGGTATCCCAATACCTGATAAGGATGGTATTTACCAATATAGAAAAACACAGAAAAGATACACTGGAAATGTAAGAAAACAGTCCATAAAAGAAATAAACCCAATGAAATCTTATAATGAACCAATCCACACAACAGGAGTATGATTAGATCTAGACCGTGTAGATAAAAATAAAGCTATTGAAACATGGATGAAAAGCACAGATTTAGCAATACAATTTAATAAATGGGAAACATATACAACTTTTGGATTTATCGAACATACATTCAGAGGAATTGTTTCTGAATGGTGGAGAAAACTACCAGAAACTATTAAAGGAAGAATAAACTATAAAGTATGGAGCAGGTAGAACTGAGGTATTAGATAATAAGAATAATTTAAATGAACAAAATATACAGGAGATATTAAAAAGGTTTGAAAAAATCTTAAGAATAGAATTCTTAGGAGATAAGTATATTTCTAATGATGAAGAAAGAAAACAAAATGAATATAATCAAGGAATGATAGCAATGGAAAATTTAAAAATATGTGATATGTGTGAATTAGAAAGATATACTTGTAAATTTGAAAAAATAAACTATATATTAAATCAAGAAGATTATCAAGAAAATAAACCTATATTAAGATCTTATTTTACAAAATTACCATTTCCATGGGGAATTAAGTTATTAAAAGAATATGAAAAATTATTATCTCTAGGAGAAGAGGAAGGAATAAAAATAGATAGTTTTGGAAGTAGGATTGAATTTACAAAAAGAATGATATGTATGTGGTGTAGAGAAGCTTTAGAAAATACAAAAGCATATAAAATAAGAAAAAATTCATTATATTGTTATAAAGATATTGGCTAAGTTGAACAATTTGGATGTCATAAGAAGAAATATAAACCGTATAAGAAATATAAAAGAAAATTCAAAAACTATAAAAAATTCAAGAAAAGAAATTTTAAACCACACAAAAAATATTTCAAGAAAAGAAATTGGAATAAGAAATTTAAACCAAGAAATATTAAAAAATGTAGATATTTTATTTGTAATGAAAAAGGACACATTGCCCCTCAATGTCCTAAAAAAAAAGATAGACAAAATATAAAAACTCTTAGAATTTATGAAAAATTTCAAGAAGATAGTGACATAGAACCAATTGAATATTTTGAAGATCTAAGTAGTGAATGCAGTAGCATTTATAAATTAAATACATTTTCATCAGAAGAAGATTATGAGGAAATAGTATATATGAATCAAGAGATACAACAATCAGAAATAGAAATAGAAACAACTGAAAAAGTTGAAGACTTTATAGAAGGTATAAATCAAGAAATTACCTTTGATATTAAAAAATACACAGGAATCACTAAGAAGATATTAGACCTACAAGAAAAATATGTATTCCATCAAGGATTTTTATGAATTTTACCAAGAGTAAATAAAACAATTGTAAGTATGAATTATAAAGAAATGTCTATCAATATAGAAGATACTATAGGAAAAACAAGAATTCCTATAATTACAAAAGAATGGATAAAACAAAAGTTATCCAAAATCCCAGAAAATGTAAGAAACAAATTAAAATGTATTGAAATAGGAGGAGTCTAGATAATGGTAAAATGATTCTTTAAAGAAGGTATGAACATACCAATAGAAATATACTGTATGGACAATAGAATCTTACAAGATCCTATAGATGCTCTATTAGGAATAGTCGTAGAAAACTTAGTCTATCAGAAGATAATATTTACAGTAAAACTAAATTATGCAATATCATTACATGATGAAAATATTGACCAAATTTTCAATCTATACTATAGAATTGGAAACTTAAAAATTTTATGAAGAAGTAAGGCTATTAGTATAAGCATAAAATTAATTTTTGCTTTTAGTACTGGCCATCATAATAATCTAAGAAAAATAACTGATAACATTATCATACATAAAGATTTTGAGGAATTAGCAAAATATATACCTCCTAGGAAATACCAAGAACATGAAGTCACTACCCAGAACAAATAATACTTGATTTTCATAAACAAGCTAAAGAAATTAATTTCAAAGGAAAATTAATAAGAAGAAATAGTATCAGCTTAGAATGAGTAATCTTATTGCAAGATTTCCCTCTAAACAAGACTCTAAGATAAGCAGACTTAAGAATTTAAGTATTGCTGAACCATCAAGTTCTCAATATTACATTAAGACAAGATATGTAAATCAAGAAGGATTTAAGAAAAATCTTCTTGTCCTCATAGATACTGGAGCAGATAAAAGGTATGTAAATGCTAAATTTGTTAGTCATTTAATAGACTTTGAAATACCAGAATCATATATATTTAAGGATTATTTAGGAAATAATCTTGAAATAAAAAAATATATTAAGTTTCCCTTTATACTTATAGGAGAGGATTAGAAAGAATATACTAAAGAAATAATTCTATATAAAAATGAATTATATGCAGTAGATCGTTCACCTATTCTATTAGGAATGAACTTTCTTGAGAAATATAGTCCTTATAAAATCTGTCAAGGGTATTTAAAGATAACAGTTGATGATAACCCAATCATCATATCAAGAATAGATGAAAATATGAAATCATTGTTATCATGGAAAGAGTAATACGTACTAATCTCATGAGTCCATATATTGAAATTACACTTAATATAAAAAGCTATTGTAGAATTAAATTTCATGCTTACTTAGATACAGGAAGTACAATAAGCTTATACTTACCAAATGTATTACCATCTGAATACTAGATATACAATTTAAAGAAGATAGTCACCGCTACAACAGCATGTGAAAATAAGGTAATATACAACAAATATGCTACGCAAGTACCTTTTCTAGTTTCCTTTAGAGAAGTAATTGTTGATACAATATACATGTCAACCACAATTAGATGTGATATTTTATTAGGATAAAATTTTCTATTAAAATATGCACCATTTACACAATATATTGACAAGTATATGTTCACAACACTTTGTGCATATAAAATATTTACACTAAAAATAAATAAAACTGTTACAATAGCATATACAGATATAAACCATCAGAGTTCCTCAACCCAGCGTGATAGATGTTGGAGTACAGAAAAATTTAAATCAGTTACAGTCTTAAAAATGACAACAGAAAATAGGATTGAAAAACTGAAAAATGAAATTTCTGAAACATATTCTGAAAATCCATTAGAAAAATGGAATACAGACAAAGTAAAGGCAAAAATAGAATTAACCAATCCGGATACTATTGTTAGAGTCAAATCCATGAAATATAGTGTTGATGATCAAAAGGAATTTAAAGACCAGATAAAAGAATTGCTAGAAGCTAAGTTAATTAGGTCTAGTAAAAGTCCACATAGCAGCCCATCCTTTATGGTTAGAAAATATAGTGAGATAAAAAGAGGAAAAATCAGAATGGTGATAAATTACAAAACATTAAATGAAGTTACTAAATTTGATGGATATTACTTGCCAAATAAGGACACCCTTATTAAACAAGTACAGAACAAAAAGATATTTTCAAAATTTAATTGTAAGTCAGGATTTTGGCAAATCATGCTTACAGAAGAAAGTAAACCACTAACTTCATTTAGTACCTCCAATCCTTTAGGACAATACGAATGGAATGTAATGCCATTTGGGTTAAAAAATACACCACAAATATTCCAAAGAAGAATTGATGAGGTAATCAAACTAATTACTCATTTCTATATTGCATATGTAGATAATTTACTTATTCATTCAAATAATATTGATGAACATATTGAACATTTTGAGAAATTTTGTTATATGATGAAAAAACATGGTATTACACTTTCTCAAAAGAAAGTTGAGATAGCTAGAACAGAAATAGAATTTTTAGGATTATTTATAAAAGAAGGAAAATTGCAATTGCAATATTATATTGGAGAAAAACTTCAAGAATTTCCTAAAAAAATCAAAGATAAAAAACAATTATAAAACTTTCTTGGTATATTAAATTATGCTGGAGGATTCATTGAAAATTGTGCCAAATTGAAAAATTATTTTCTTCCAAAATTAAGAAAAAACATAATGTGGTCTTGGGAAGAACAAGATTATGAAAATATAAGGAAAGTAAAAGAAGAGTTAAAGGTATTGCCCAAACTTGTAATACCACAAGAAGAAGATTTTTTTATCCTTGAAACTGATACTTCAGATAATTAATGGGGAGCAGTATTAAAAGTTAAAAAGAATCATAAAGAATATAAATGTGAAAAGAATTGTTCTTGTCCTGAGATACTTGCAAGTTTTACATCAGGAACATTCAAAGAAGTTGAAACAAGATATGAGACGAACAGGAAAGAACTCATTGCTGTAAAAAGAGGAGTTCAGAAATATAAAGATTATCTATTACCAAAGAAGTTCTTGATTAGAACTGATAATACTCAAGTTAAAGCATTTTTGAAAAATAATGTTGATCCATCTATTGCCAATAGATATATTATTAGGATACAAATTTGGTTTTCATATTTCAAATTTGATATTGAATATATAAAAGGTAAAACTAACTTTCTTCCTGATTATCTTAGTAGGGATGAAGCTAGAACAATTAAGGACGAAAGTCCAGATACTTGAGATAAAAGTTCCTTTTTAGAAACACAAATTCAAAATATCCAAGATAGCATTCGAGGCAAAAATATAGCCGTTGAGGCAGAAGTTACTTGTACCAAGTCTAGTATCCCTTCGCAGGGACTTGTGAATATTAGCGCTCTCTCCGAGGATAAAGGGAAAGAAAAGAAGGTAATAGGAACCCCTTCATAGGGAAAAATTGAACCTATTACTGGTAATAAAGATATTCAAGATATCAAAAGAGAAGGTAGCTCTTCACAAAGCCAAACTCAATCTAAACTTTCTATTAAAGGATAGATCCAAAAGATATTGTCAAGATATGCAATGAAGCAAAAATTCCCAGAAAAGATAACCATGAAAAAGTAACACTCTTTATTGTTATTTTCAATATTTTATCAGATTGGTATTTGGACATTGGAAAGTGGATGAAGACTCTCCACTATTCAAAATATAACAAGATAAATTTTTATCCAGGAGCACAGCCAACTGGGTACGAAATTGTTTTGAGATAGGAAATATACTTTGTATATATCCTAGCAAAGATCTCAAAGAGATAGCTCAACTTCCAGCCAACATCAGAAAAGCTGTTAAAAGATATATTGAAGTCGTCAAGACAACAAATACATATATCAGATTCTATTCAGCAACCATGGAATGGGATCCCGTTCTTGAATATATGCATCCATCGTTCCATGTGATAAAAATGGGACTCACAAATCAACATTTTTTACCAACCAATCAAAAGGTTGTTAAAAATGGATATCAAGATATTCTAAATATGATGCCCTACAGAAGAGCAAAAGGATACAAAAAGATATTTGAACATGTAACTCAGATAATTACTGAGAAAGAAAAAATATGGGTTTATCCATTTGAAGATCATATTATCTATTCCAATGCAAGGATGGCCACCAAGGAAGAATTGTTATCTCGATCATTTATTATCTACAATTATTTCTAACCAAGTGCATGGATCAGAAGATATGGCTAAAGAACTATGCAAATTACTCTGGAACTATAGTGATCACCATTGTGAATACTGTGTTGTTGAATATATGAGTCAAGCATCTCTTAATAGTGAAGAATTCCCTGTAGAATTCTTTGATTCGAAAATGGAAAAGTGATGGTGACAAAAGTAGCCCTTTATCACTACTTTAATAAAGAAATTTATTAAAGAAAAACTGTGGCTACTAAAAGATAGAAGATAATGCAAGAAAAGTCTCCATAATTGTGACTACTCCCCACCATTTGTCACAAGTGGCAGACAAACTCAAAAGATAAGGCATATAATTTCAAAAGGAGAGGTCCACTTAGCAAGAAGATAATAGAAAATTTGGTGGAGATAAGATGGCCTAACTACCCAACAAAGAAAGGGAAAAAACACCTGTCAAGATAAGATTTCCAAAGGCTTCTATAAAAGGAGGCAAGGAGGAAGACATCTCGAAATAACTTATCTCTTAAACACTCGGAGGAAACACTTCTTAGAGAGATATCTTTTGTAATCTGTATACACCACTTGTATTCAGAAAAATATTAGATAGCTTGAAGATAGTAAAGCGTGTAATAAGGTAATCACTTATGGAGTTCTAAACTTCATAAGGTGAGTACCAAAGGCATGTAAATATAGATTGCAAGCATGTATTATTTCAGTTTATGAATATCAAAGTAAAGTTTGTTATGTTCAACAAAGCCTTCATAAAAGGATTTCGTTAAATTTCTCATGATTTCTCGGCAGTACAAATAGAGATTTTAAAAAATTTTCAAAACATTGATTTTGAAAGGATGTTAGCCATGCCAAAGTACTCGTCTTTGATGAATGGTTTAGGGGAAAAAGGCAATTTTCTAACAAAATTGTAGCACCTTGTGTGTGAGTTATCTTTTAAAATTTCGTTCCAAGTAAGAACTTGATTCTGAAAAGAGTTTGGATAAAGGTGAAAACAGAGACTCTGGATACTGTGAGATAGCGTTTGTGGCAACACGGCTAGTTCTCTAGAATGAGAAATGCAACCTTAATTGAAAAACCTTTTGCGGAAGCAGTTGTGGACCCAAATAATTTCAAAAAAACATTTTAATCTTTACTTGATTCACAAGATTGATTAAGTACATGCAAAACATCTATAAAAGCATATTGGAGGGAAAGCCTATTTACTTCCATTTGATTACTGTAAGTTATTTACTTATTCTTACATGCTTATGCTTTAATTATTCTGATGAACAAATCACAAGCATTCACAACAATTTCTAATAATGATAATAATCTCATATTATTTTTAGATGAAAAAGATGTTTCGTTTTTATTTAAATTAGTTGAAAAGTCTGAAGATATATTTCCTGTTGGCAAAGAAAAATTGAACAAATATATAGGGATATAGATTATAATTGTAAAAATAATATAGGATTTGATTCTGTAGGAACTAGTAAATAGATAAGAATGATAGAGGATATTATAACTAAACATAGAAATATACAAGAAGAAGTTTCAGAAGAATTAGTTCGAGAATATATAAACAAGAAATGTCAGCTTAGGATCTTTGAAAAACTACTAAAATGCAAAGAATATTTAAAAGTGTTTGAAAGATTGAAAAATATAGATATAGGTCCTGATTAATAAATCCTTAAAGATATAAGATATATCTTACAAATAATTATAGTAAGAGTAAAATAGTATTTCTTATTGAAAAGGCCATTGTGAAAAATTGGATCAATTATCCAGCCATTTTGGATCAATTATCCAGCCATTTTAAAAATTGCCCCAGACTAGAGAGATACAGGGATGGGGATTAGGTTTTGCATTGGGGTGGGTAGTTAAATACTTCAAACCTGATAACTGCACAAATAAACTTCGGCCCTGGA